AAAAGTGAACTAGGAAGGGGGGCGTAGGGAGGAAAATGTGAAAAAAAATGAATGACTGCAAATTGAAATTTTTTCTGTAAACTTTCCTTAATTTATCAATTTAAAAACCCTCAAAAAAAAAGAAATAAAACACTGCCATATCCTGTATCACTGACAAAGCACAGAAAAAGGACCAAGTGACTACCTTTATATATGTAAAAAAAAAAAGGAATGAATAAAATCGAACACCTCAAAACATGGTCATATTTGTTTTCATTTTAGTTTAGTGATTTTAGGGTTGGTTTCCCTCCTCTCATTCATATTTTGCACACTTCTTTATTCATATTGAGTTTCATATTATCATTCCCTTCAACAAACATGGGGGGAAAGAAGTTAGAGCACAAACAAAGGTGTAATCTTTCAAAGATCATTGGGTTATGTATGTAGAAGATCCAGAACATGTCAGTCATGTTTTATAACAGTGTCACTAGATAGGAAAAATTGTTGATGATTCAAGTAAGAAAATGTTACTCCACTAATAGGGCCATTGATTGAAAGATATAGAAACTGCCTTGAAGAATCTTCCATGTTGAAATTTGAGACAATTTAAAGAACAAAAGCAATGGTAACAAAGGGTAAAATATTGCCACAAATAAATTAATAAATAGAAACTAACCCCTAGGGCAAAACAACACACACAGCACAACTCAAAGCACCCTTTGATGAAAACAAAATTACTGTTGCACTGTAACCTCTTTACTAGTAGGAAAGAAAGGATATGTTCATCCCTCTTTTAAATTGCTTCTTCTTTATAAGTTTAGGATTGAAATTTAATCCTAATAAATACCCAATAACCTAAAAAAAACTTCACAAGGAGATAATTGTCACAATACGATTAATCTTGTGTACGTCTGTTACATCAAGTAAGGATATTTCTGTGTTGAATTCTTAGTAAGTACAAGGATCTAAACATTAGGTTTACTACAGCTAAAATTAAGTACATTAAGTACATAATATATTTTCTCCATTTCCCCCTTTTCCCCCCTGCTTTGAGCTGTGGTATTGGAGAAGAGTATTGAATATACCATGACTGCCAAGAAAAAAACAGATTCATCCTGAAGAGGGTTAAACCAGGCTGCTCCTTGGAGGCAAGGATTCTGGGACTTTGTCTGACATACTTTGGACATATTGTAAGGAGGGACAGGTCCTTGGAGAAGGACATCATGCTTGGGAGGGAGGAGGGACGGCACAGGAGGGGAAGACTCTATGAGATGGACTGATTCAGTGACTGGGGTAATCAGGATGGGTGTATCAGAGACAGTGCGATTGGCACAGGACAGAGCAGGGTTTAGGGCTGTTGTACATAGGGTCGCTACAAGTCACAAGCAATTCGACTACGCATAACAACAACAATACCATCATTCTAATGACAGACAGAACAGAAATCTGTCATGCAAGGAAAAAATAAGTGAAAGTATTCCAAGGCTTGGAGAGAAAGAACACAATAACATAAAGACAGCTGTGGCAATTTCAGACACCAGTGCAAGTAGGCGGGAATATAGGGTGCACAGTGGTAGCTGACCTTCAGGATGTGGCTAGAAACCCAGAGATGGTCCCTAAGATGAGATACTCCCAATATGCTTAGGAAGAAAATAATTTATAACACAGTTGTAGATGTGATAAGCAACATTTCTGTTTGATCTATTCTACAAGTTTTGAAAGAGTCTACAAAGCTCTGAAATCAATGCTAAATTGTGATTCTGAAGAAGTAAACCCATAAAATTTCCTTCCAGGGAAATTTTACAACCAATGATATTTATAGACCAAAAAACAAAACAGTTACTCATACCAGACCTACACACTACCAATGAAAAGGATGCCATTGTTTGGGGCTTCTGGAAAGACCACAGCAGGGAATATTATTCAAAGAGAAGATCCTCATCCTTCTCTTTAGCTAGAAGATTAAAAGGCTCTATCAGCTTTTCTCCAGCCACTCTTTGTTGCTTCCCGTCCTTCTCAGATTTTCCCATAAGAATCATTTTCTTCTCTTGAATTTTCTTTAACCATGTTCAATAACATTTACAAGCCTGTTGGTTATCTTAACAGCTGAATGCAGAGTGACAAATGAAGCCTGCAGTGAAGCGAGTTCCACTACTTCAGCATAATTTCTCTTTAACATCACCAACTTCCCCCATCTCTGGTTGAACCAGTCAATAATAGCTTTCAGTTCCTTCCTGGTAATGTTCAAATACTGGCAAAGTAATGACTACCACATTGTCTTTCTTAGTATGAATCTTCACCTGGGCTTTGTTGACCTTCTGGATAACTGTGGTGCTAAGTCCCAGGCTATGAACTTGGTCTCAGCTAGTCAAAAAGCAACTTTTCTCATTACTTCACCCATCAACATTTTAATCTCTATACTTTCTTTAGGATATGTCGAAATGAAAGAGTCAAAGCATCAGATTTTTACTTGAAGAGGTATCTGTAACCTTTCAATGGAGACTTCATGAGAGTCTGTGCCATTTGAGAGAGACAGATTTCAATTTGGTCTTTGCCTGATATTTTGGCAATTATAATTCTGCTCAAATACCCAGCCTAGCAATTGTAGCTTCACCAGATCCATTTTAAATGGAAAAATTATTTCAAAATTCAAGTAACAAATAATTTCTTCCCTTAACTATAATTTAAAATTTTCTGTAAGATGTAACAAATAGTTTTATTCCATTTGACTTTTGTTTGTGTTAATAATCAAAGTTCAAAAGAAAAACTGAATCATATTTGGTCAGTTTTGAGTATGTATAAAGATAAATATTTTCTTTCACGGAAACTCTAGTTGCTTGGTGATAAGGGGCTGCATTGCCAACCCATAAGTACATGGTTTGAAACCTCCACTTGCTGCATGGGAGCAAGATGGGTAATCTCCTCTGGTATGATTAATGTCTCTGAAAACCCACTGGAGGGTAAGCTATGGATCAGTTCTGGCTCACCAGCACCCAACAACAACAATGATTTCTTGCAATTGACCACTGTAGATAATTTCATGTGGTAACAGAAGACAGTCATTTAGGATAAGATAGCAGAGGAACAGTAAGAAGATTGAATTGAATGAAAGACGGCCAGTTTATGTTAAACTAGACACAAATTTGGATATATATATATATATATACACACTACTAAGGCTGACTTTGAGAAAAATAGGAGTCCAAAAGTATTTAATTGTGCTCATGAGGAACCTATACCTGGACCAGGAGTCTGTTGTGCAAGCAGAGCAGGGAACATTGCATAGTTTAAAATTAAGAAGAAAGTGAGTTAGGGTTGTATTCTCTCTCCGTAACTATTTGACCTGTATGCTAAGCAAATTATTTAAAAAGCTGGAATATATGAAGAGGAGTGTTGCATCAGGATTGGAGGGAAATTCATCAATACCTGTGTTTGCTGATGACACAACCTTGCTTGCTTAAAGTGAGAAGGGCTTGAATCATTGTTGTAGAATATCAAGGAATGCAGCCTTTAGTATGGATTGCATCTTAATGTCAAGAAAACAAAGGTTCTGAACACTGAACTGAAAAGCAATGTCATGTGGATGGAGGGGAGATTGAAATTGTCAATAGCTTCATCTTACTCAGACCCACAGTTTACAACCTTGGTACCAACAGTCAAGATAAAAGGAAACACATTGCACCCGGAAATTCTGCAGTTAGGAACATTTCCAAATAATTGAAGAGTAATGATGTCAGTATGAAGACTAAAGTGCGTCTGATCCAGACCATGGTGTTTCTGATTATTGCTGTGCGTCTGAGAGCTGGATAATGAATAAGGATGGGAGAAGAACTGATGCCTTTGAGCTGTGGTGTTGGGGAAGAGCATTGAACATCACATGGATGGCAAAGAGAACATACAGATATGTCTTGGAGAAATTTTGGAGGCAAGAATGATGAGGCTTCACCTCATATACGCTGGGCTATTGCTAGGAGGGCCTATTCCTTGGAGAGGGAAATGAACTAGGAAGGGTGGAGGGTCGGTGAAACATTTAAATTGTTAGCTATGCATCTGGAAGTTGGACAATGCATAAAAATGACATTAAATTATTGTGTTGGAAAAGAGTACTGATGTCCTAAGTAGTGCCAAAAATACAAAGAGGTATGTTTTGGAGAAGGAACAACCAAATTGCTCCTTAGAAGTAAGAAGAGTGAAACTTTCTCTCACTTCTTCTACATTGGGGATGTTTTTTGGAGAGGACAGTCCTTAGAGAAAGACCTCCTGCTTGGAGAGGTTGAGAGTTAGTGAAGGAGAAGACCATCAGTGAAATGGATTGGCATCGTGGTAATAATAAAGAACTTATGTATCAAAGAGATGATGGGGATGACACAGGATAGGACAGGGTTTAAATCTATTGTTTACAGGGTCACTGTGAATAGACTAGAAGGCACCTAACAACAGTATACATGAAGGGGGTGCTCTGGTGACCTCTATGATAAAGAGTGGTGCCACCAATCCAAAGGAAAGAAGTTTGAATCTACCAGTTTGAAACCCAGTTTGAATCCAGCAGTTTGAAAAGGAGAAAGATGGACAGTCTCTTCCTATGTGATTTACACCCTCTGAAACTCACTAGAGGGTTAACTACATGTTGGTTCTGAATTTAAAATAAGGAAAAACATCCATTTCACTAGGAAGGAGCCTTGATATAATTACCAGGAAGTCCTTGAGGAAAGAGAAACTATCTACAGCCTCGGAAAACTAATGGAGAATCAGTTATGAGTTGACTCTGACTCAATAACAGTAAAAACAAATACATTTAAGAAAATGGCTATAGTGTGAGAGATTATTCTTTGATTTTGCGTGTAGAAGTGAATCAAGGACTTGTGGAAATTATGAGGAAAATACAATGTAAACCCAACCTACATAAATGATGTGGAGTGTGCAGTGAAGGATTTGGAAACTGTTTTGACTTTCTACTTTATCTTCATACCATAAAATGTCCACAAGTGCCTTCCTTGACAAATAAACCAGCATCCACTTACCAGAATTTTGAAATACAGCATCAATCTTTTGCTCAACTCCTGGAAAGTCCTCAGTTATTAGTCTGGGGAAACCTTGATCCATGGACTGGCTATCCTCATCAAATCTGCACCAGAAGAAATACAGTTTAGTATTCAGTGAATCCCCTGTAATCAATCAACATAAAGTAACATTAATGCTCCAGTGTGAAATCCTCGATAAACTTTTCAAGTGTCGTTAAGGACTACAACAAATGTGACTTTCCATGGCTTATTAAATGCATTATTTCAAACCGTATTTTCCCTAAAAATAAATACTCTGCTCTTCTAGAGGGTCTAACCATGTGTTTGAAGTTCGTTTCTAAGCCTCAATATGTAAAACTTATTTGTGGCCCCTTTCTATAGTGGTCCTTTCAGCCAAAAATATATGAGGATTGTGTGTTATGTGTTGCACTGGTAACCAAAATATCAAATCTACCAGAGCTCTACAGGAGAAAGATGGGAAGTTTCAGAAACTTTATGAGTAGTTGTGAGTTGGAATCAATTAATTTGCAAATGGGTTTAGTTTGGAGGTTTGAGTTTACATAAGGAATCACATACAGGAAACAAAGTAAATGAACTTATTTGGCAAAATAGAAATTCTTGACTCTACTGACTTTGTCTCTAGAACATGTTGTATTTGGGGTTCCTTTGCAACTTAATGAAAAGAAATTCTGCTGCCAATGCAAAGGTATGCTGTTTGAATCCGCCAGCTCCTCTATGACAGCAAGACAGACAACCACCTCCTATTTGATCTCTTGCCTCTTAAAACTCATAAGAAGCTCAACTAGGGATTGATTTTAACTTCAAGGGACACAATAACAATATCAACGGCAGCTACATGGTGACTAGCAGAAAGACAAGACAAATGTGACCTCTGACCAGAAGTCTGGACCTGAGTTGGTGTCTTCTGATGTATTTTGCTCCTTGGAGATATCATTCATTGATTAGCTTTCATGAGAATTCTTTGTTATATCTAAGGCATTGACAAACTGTTAGTAGTTTTCAGAAAATTTGACGTTAGAGGAAATTAGAGAGGGTAGAATTTAGGGATTTTCTTAGAAAAAGAAAAGAAACATCCTAATTAGGATCCCTACAAAGTCATTCTTATTCTGTATTACCTCCAGTATTTCTCCTTTATGAAAAAGTAGGTTTTCCTGTTATCCTTATCAGAAAAAGCTGCATCAATTTTCTGGACGGTTGGAGGAAAGCCCAGTGTGTAGATGCTTCTTGGATAATCTGCTTGCATCTCCAGGAGTTTCATGGCCCAGAACTGATTTCCTTTTGAAAAATAAATCCAAAACATTTTGATTGAAGGCTTTCAGTGTTAGAAATTACTTTAATGTGCTATCTTATTAAAGATGAAAGCTTACTTTAAATTCCAATCAACAATCCAAATAGGAAATGATTACTAAATATGCTTTATGTAAATCAATGAGTAAATAAGACCTTTATGCATTATACCTATTATCCATAAATTATAATCATCAATCTTAGTTTTTTCCTTCTAATTGTTGATAACACCTTAATCTGAATTTACAATCTAGACCTTCCCCCACCCCTCACGCTTCACATGAACCTGTCAGTTGGTTACTATATGCTGTCCATTGTGTATTTCTCTGGCTGTGACTATGCTGGATGATTTGTGCTAGTCTGAGCAGTTGCAGGGAAACCCTTACTTTTTAGCAATGAGTTCTTTCTATCTTGAAGAACCAACTTCCCAATTTCTGCTTGCTCTCTACATAGAAAAGCTTTTTTTCTTTTCAGATTTATTTGAAACATAACAACTTTTTCAGGAAATCAATTGTGTCAGGAGTAATCTCGGATTCTCCTGGATTCCCTTGGAGCTAGATTAACTCTATCCCATCATTGCTAACCATAAAGGTGCATATCTCCAGCTTCATTCCACAAGCATCTCTGTGGAAGAAAGATGAGCAGTCTTCTCCCATGGAGATATCTAGACTCAAAAACCCAGTGAAGGTTTGCTTTCAGTTGAAATTGAGTAAACGGCAGGGAGTTAGTGCTAATGACATTCTTTCTAATCCCTCTCTAGTATATGAGCCTCCTTTAATCATGATCTCCACTGACTAGCACAGCACCTGGAATACAGTAAACCCTCCCAGATGAACAAACAGTAACGGGCAAGAGCAATGATTTATAGTGATATAACTCTTTATAATTTAGCATGAAATTTCACACGCTTTCATGTAATTATAAAAAAGAGGAAATTATGACATAGACAAATATAAAAATTCAAATCCCAGTTGAATTGGGCATATAAAAGTTCTTCAAATAACTTATAATTTAATTTAAAAAGTTTGAATGGAAAATTTTGTAACTTACACTTGCATTCTTGAAAGGGAGATAAAGCACAAGTTGGGAAGACAATTTTTATAAGCTTAAACATTCACATTAAGAAAGAAGATCAAGCTTCTTGGGTCAGCAGAGTTTGAGGGAACCCCAAGACTGTAGACCTTTGTCAGTGTGGGAACCTAGAACAAAAACCACCTCTGTGTCTCAACTTTCAGCCAAACAATTAACAAGACAAGAAGAGAAATAATGTCACCAGGGAGGCACTGAGAATAATCAACAATAAAATTACATAAGAACAAAAGGACAGGAGTCACTCAGAGATAAAGCGCAGAAGCAGAAAGAGGTAGGATTGGATTAGTGGAAACAGGAATCACAAAGGGGAAATGAGAAGAGTGCAGTCACATTGTGAGTATTCTAAAAAATGCCATAAACAGGACTTGTAAATGGTGGATGAAAAACCAATTGACTTTTTAACTTTTACTCAAATTATTATTAAATAAATAATAAAATGTCTATTTTTTCTTCCTTAAAAAGAATATTTAAAAAAAGAAGAAAAACTGCCATATAATGAGTTAAACAACAAACTTATGAAGGTCATAATAAGCATATGGGACAGAAAGGAAATGAAATGAAACTATAACAAAACAAAACCTATAGTTAATTCTTTAATAATCTTACAAAATTGTTGTTGTTGTTGTTGTTGTTATGCGATGTCGAGTCACCTGCAACTCATAGTGGCCCTATGTACAACAGCCTTAAGCCCTGCTCTATACTGTGCCAATCTTAGGGTCTCTGACAAACCTACCTCCATTACCGCAGTTCCTGAATCAATCCATCTTAGTCTTCCTCTCTTGCGCTGTCCCTCCTTCTTCCCAAGCATGACGTCCCTCTCCAAGTACTGGTCCCTCCTTG